CCTTCATCACACTGCTTATGGGTGGGAGGGGTGGAATCAGGAAATGCATATCCACTTAATCCTTATGCTTTTGATAAAAACTTCATTTTTTTCAGGGTGAAGTAATAGCCATGGACAAGATAGCTACCAAGGTCAAAAAAATTAAGCAGAATGCTGAATTGCTACAGTTGAATTGCATAAAGGCATTTTGCTATGATGGAACAAGGGCACTTTCAGTTGAGAAGAGAGAGGATGAACAAGGTAAAGTAAACAACATGGGTAGTAGTAGCTTTTAGAAGAAAATAGAAGAAAAGAGTAATCAGTTTTGCACGAATAGTACTAACACAGGTCCTTGAAATCTTGATAGATGCTAGGTTTCTTCAGCACTGTGAATGCTCTTTTATTTTCTACTCTTCTGTGATTATCATCTTCTCCATGAAGCAAATACAAAACTCAAACTATCTCCCTTTATCACAACCTAATATGCTCAAAGGAAATGCATTCCTTTCCCAGATAATATCAAATACTGAAGAAGCCTTAAAGCTTCTTTCAGGATAACATTTAATGCCATACTCTGAATTGTTTTACTTAGTCTGAGAAAAAAAAATATTTTTGCAGAATTGCTTGGCTTTCCTGCCTCAGAATCCTCATCTGTAAAATGGGGTTATTAATACCTAAATCCCAGGAGTGCTGCAAGGTTTAGTTCATTGATGTTTGTTCAGCTGTTCAGGGGAAAGTTCTACAGAAGTACAGTGTATTATTTTAAGTTCATTTCATTGCTTTTCTGAAGTGCTATATTTATGATACTGGTTCTGTTCCCATGATGGAACAATTTAAATGGTATCTGCCATCTTCATTATTTTTAGTTTGTTGTGCAAAGTATGCTGTTCTTTCTCACTCTTATTTTATCCCAGTCAGTGGGTAGCCTAAGTAGGAATCAGGTTGCATAATCCACCTGCCTTGTCCCTATGCCTTGTAGCTATTCCTACTTTGCAGGAAAAAAAGGTATTTTCTTGATAGTCTTTCTATGAACACTGAGTGTTGTAGGTGGTATGTAGCACTTACACAGATGAACAAGAGCTAGGTGTAACACTGAGCGATCATGAAAGCTTTTCTGTACATCCCAACAAGTAAGACATGACATATTTTGAATGTTGTAGTAATGGATCAGAGGTAGATAAATCAGTAGTGCCAAAAAAGACTGATTTTGTAGTGCTGAAACGAGCTAGGTAGAAGTAGTATGAAGTCACTCACTTGTTTTCACTTGTGACCTCACTTGAATATTTGAGGAACAGAAGGAAAATAGGAGGTAAAGCACATATATGGCTCTGTTCCTCATTGGTTGTTCACAGATACATGTACAGAGCCACTTTTGTCTTGGTGATGCTGAGCTGAAGAGTCTCTCTAGCTCTAAGGCAATAGAAACTTTTGGGCTGTCGAGCCAGTGGGATTCAGATGAATGACTAGGCTCTGCATACAGAAGTTACATATTCCCTTATCTATCCAGTTAATATTCAGAAATTGTTCTTATCTTCACAATCCTCATTTACTGAAATGTTCTGATGTGGAGACAGCATGTGTCACACATTAGACCTTGTAATATTTCATGTTATTATGAAGTGCGTTATTTTCTACAGATATATATGCATCTCAAGAAATAGTTATTATATAGACAATCCAATTATTATTTAAGGCTATCTTATTCGTTAACTACAGGCTTCTCTCAGTAAAGATTTGCATACTTGGTTCAGTTATGAGCTGACTGTGGTTCATTACAGCCTATATGTACAACTCTGTACCCAGCACCTCTGATCAGTTGTTTCTCACTGAATCATAGAATGGTTAGAGTTGGAAAGGACCTTAAAGATCATCACGTTCCAACCCCCCTGCCATGGGCAGGGACACCTCCCACTAGACCAGGTTGCTCAAAGCCTCATCCAGCCTGGCCTTGAACACCTCCAGGGATGGGGCATCCACAGCTTCTCTGGGCAACCTGTTCCAGTGTCTCACCACCCTCACAGGAAAAAATTTCTTCCTGTTATCTAATCTAAATCTGCCCTCTTTCAGTTTAAAGCCAGCGTTTGAACCTTTTTTGTTTATTACTTTTACATTTTTTTTTCAAATTATTAAATTAAGGTTAAAAATATTATTGCCTAAATGGATTACACTGTTTGAGCTCACAGAACTAAAACTCTTAGTTTTCTGGGAGATGAAATCTACCACTAGCAGTGCTGAGACCTGTCTCTATCTGAGATCACTTTTTCAGATACCATCTATAGAACATGTATGTTTCATGTCAAGGAAGCAGTAACAGCTCATTGTTGTCTATGGTGAAGTCTCAAGGAAAGAAACAACCACATTTTACATTACTAACTGCTTTTTACAGAAGGACCTCCATTCTTACCAGAGTCATTTGATCGAATTCTTCTTGATGCTCCGTGTAGTGGGATGGGACAGAGACCAAACATGGCCTATTCCGCGACTTTAAAGGAAGTGACCTCTTATCAGCCACTACAGCGCAAGCTTTTCACTGTGGTTTGTATTAATCATTGAGTAGATAAGTGAAATTGAACATAAATGCTTTTGCAGCATAAAACTTACTTCATATGGAACAATGGTGCCTCACTTTCCCTAATCAGCAGTTAAGTAAAGAAAGTGTTAGAATTCAGTTAACCTTTCAGCTCAACCATACCTGTTGCTAGGGTGAAATCAACTCATCGGAGCATGGAAAAGGTATATGTAAGCCATACTAAACAAAAAATTTTGGATGCAGTTTTTTATTCCTTCAGTTTCAGCAGTTTTCGTTTATAATAATCAAAAGGATCTAAGTCACAGAGCAGGTTACAGTCTTTTCTCTACAGCAGCACAGACTGTTCCCTGCATAGAAATTCCATGCAGTGGTGCTGTAAGGTACTATATGGGATATGAGATGGAGTACAAAGCCAGGAGGCCATATTACAACTTTTTATGCTAGTAGGAGTGTGCTTGGGCTGGTGCTGAAAGATAAAATTTAATGAAACTCGTCTAAATCTGAATTATATGTATCAAAGTGAACCACAGCTTCAAAAGCAGCATAGCTTCCATGCCAAATATGTGGAAACAGTTGACATCTAATATCACTGATAGAAATATTATGTACCCATGGTTGGCAGCAGGTGATGAAAACAGAACTAATCTGTTTGCAATATGCAGAGCTGTACAAATAACAAGTCTTACAAAGTGAATCATCTCAATGGCATTAATAAAGGCTGCCCAGAGAGGTAGGGGGATTGGACGAGATGATCTTTCGAGGTCCTTTCCAATCTCTAACATTTTGTGATTCTGTGAATAAACTGCATGAGCTGTAATGGTGATTTGGAAAGAAGAATCTTTCTAATCCATGGGATCCTTTACTGTATTCCTTGAGAAGAATTAGTATCCAAATGCCTGTCTTAGACAGCAAAATTTGAGTTTAATTAAGTGCTAAGTTTTAATATTACAGCGTAATGGTTTTTTGGTTAATGTTGCTTAACATGCAAGTTTTTAAATTTGAAAATAAGCTGAACTGTTGTTATTTTTCCTTGCAGGCAGTGAAATTGCTGAAACCAGGAGGTGTTTTAGTATATAGTACATGTACGATTACACTCTCTGAAAATGAGGAGCAAGTTGCTTGGGCCTTGAAAACTTTTCCATACCTCCAGCTTCAGCCACAGGTAATAGTATTTTCAGGGTACGTCACTCAATCCAGTGAGCTTGTTTTAGCACTGTAAAGTTACACACTATATTTACTATCAAGAAATCTCTTTTTCACTGCAGGCAATTTTAACTGCTGTGGATAGAAATAACACCAGGATTTCTGGGGCTCTTAAATCTATTTTCATGCTTAATTGATTTTTATTTAGGGAACGTTAAGTATTTTCCCACTGTGTGCTGTGGTTGTTTTGATTTGCAATTCTTCTTTAGTGCGTATATTTATTTTATTTTTGCACAGTCACAGGAGAGGTGGAAATTTTTTTAGTAATGCTACTGAAGTAGTGAAGACGTGCATAAAGGATGGGAGACAAATGGGAAGAACCTTTTGAGGAAGGAAGATTTTATATGTATGGAACCTATTTTTGGATTATTTAAAGGAATGAGAGAATAAATTTATTTCAAGCTCAGTGTCCCAAGAATGTACCTTGTCTTTTTGGAGTCAGTGTCTACCATTAAGATGTCTGGGAGGAGGTAATATATAGGGAGATACTAAGATTTTTTATCTATACAGGATACATTTCAAAAATATGTTACTTTTATTAGTACCTTGAGAGAGTTTATCATCCAGCTGTATGCATCTCTCTTCCTCTTTGCTGATGTGATGAGTTGGGTGGGTTAGTTTTTTTTATTATCACAGCTTTGAGGAAAAGTCTAACTCTGATACCTGTTTAGCTTACTTAGACATTCTGTTATGACTTGTACCTGTCTTAAAAAGTTTAGATGCATCTTTTAACTGATATTAAGAAAATATATACAAGAGGTGTACAATGAGAAATACGTGAAGGCTGGTAAAGATTTAACAGAACTGAAGTTTTTCTCAGATTATTTGTATGTCAGGGTTCTGCCTGCTTTCTCACCATCCATTTACTAGGAATTTTTCAGTTATACATTTTACCTAATAAAATTATCCTCAACAGAATGACAAAGCAAAACACAAGCCCTATTAACTCAAATGCAAGATTAATTCTGGTTTAATAGACTTTCTCTCACCAGTACTATCAGTCTTGAATAAAGCACTAGTTTTCACACATAAAATGCCATATCTGTAAAAAAATAAGCTTTTGTGGATAGTATGTTTTAAATGAGATGACCCAGAATTATTTATCCACAGCTAGTTTATAGTATCTTGCAGGAGTGTAAACTAAGGTGATCTCTTCCAATGAACAGGAAACCAGAGTCTAGGGTCAACTTACCTTATGCTCCTTTATATATTTCTCATGTTCTTTAGTCTCTCAATGGACATCTTCTTTATATTCAGTCCACTGTCTCCCACTTTCTCACTTTGGCAACAGATCCTGGAATCATGTTGAGTAAGGAAGAAACAGGAGATGGAGCCATAGGTGTTGATCTCGTACGTGGAGGTTACTGCATGGCAGCTGATCCTTTGTGTATACTTACTTTCTCTTAGGGATTTACACACAGGAGATACTGTGTATCAGCTTAAATGGAGTAACTTCACTGGAAGGAAAAAGTAGAGGAAAAAAATTGGTCTGTCTGAGCAAGTTACTTGACCCTATGTAATACTGCTTGCTTTCCCATGACTTTTACCTTTCTGTCATTCTGTTACATTACTTCAAGTCGCTACCCCTGTGTCCCTTTGTATGTTATTTTCTCTCAATTTGCAATGGACACCTCTTTTTGTCTCTTGCCTGGAAAGCACTGAAGTCCTGGTGAGGGAAAGGAAAAGAAGAATCAGGCTGCACCCTCTTGGCTGCCCAGCTTTACAGCACGTAGTACGTGGTTAGTAAAGTGTGATGACTCAAAAATTACTCTGCTGTAGGTTGCATTATAGACTACACTAGACTGGATTTACAAAGCAGATCTATTTTTGATATTGCAATGCCAGCTCTTGTACATCTTTTTCTATCTCCTTACTAAATGGAAGAATGATCCAGCTAAGTATTAGATTTTTCCAGGAATCACCATATTAAATAAAAAGCAGTCAAGGCTACTTACAAGAAATGCTGAGAAAAGGGCTGTGACTTTAAGCCCTTCTCCTCTCCAGGATTTTGATGCCAGCTGTCATCTCCTGAACTCAGCTGCCTGAGCTGTCTCTTTTGTCCTTTCTCTGCCTCATATACACACACGTTAAAAGGTGGTAACAGTATTCCCACTTACCTGTTAGTTTAATTATATGACATACAAAATCTGAAGTTGAGATTTTTCTGCTGCATCATCTTCCAAACTGATTCCTCTTCAGGCAGTAAAGTGGTCTGAATTGGGGCTTTCACTCTCTCCAGTTGGAAGTTTTTAATGTGAAGAATCCAGGTATTTCTGCTACCGAGTATATTAATAACTAGGTAAGGAATCACTATTTTTGACTTAACTGATAGCTATTGGTCAGTACACAGAAATGCTGCATCATTTAAAAGTGAAAACCCAAAACCTTTAGAACTTCTTATTGTCTGGTGCTAACAGCTTTCTTGTGATGTTTCAGTTCTTTGAGTAATGAATTGATTTACACCTGTGTACCTGTCCTCAGTAAGTGCTCTGAACTACTGGGCTAAAGTGGTGCACGACTGCCTCCTCAAAGTACTTTGGACCGTGTATATGTGCTTCTGTGTGCTCTGGCCAGATGAAGGCAAGAAAACAAGGGCCACATTACTTCTAAGTCCCCTTCACTGTGAATGACATAAACCTAGCTTGTCCATGTTAAGAGTTAGGCAGCTCTGCATATACTCAGTGGACTCATTTAGGACAACAGGAACTTTACTGATGCAATAACTTGCTTTTCTTTGTTACTTAAAAAGGAACCTCATATTGGAGGAGAAGGCATGAGGGGAGCTGGACTGTCGCTTGATCAGCTGAAGCTGCTGCAGAGATTTGATCCATCTGCTGTGACGTTGCAAGGAATGGATATTAATTCTTTGCAAGATTCCAGGGAAGATGATCTGATTTCACTGGCCAATAAGGACTGTATAGGATTCTTTATTGCAAAATTTATTAAATCTAACAGTGAATAAGCATTTAGGAATGCAACCTGAAAAAATATGTCTGTGAGTCTAAGAACAGTTCAGATGTGAAGTGTGTTTCTCACTGCTGCAATGTTGCCAAGCCAACGGGCTGACGGCAGGGTTGCTATGGCAGCCATAAAATCTGCCAGCTGTTCTGCTGGGAAAGAGCCACAGGTTGCAGAAAGCAAGCCACAGTTGGGGGAGGGGTAGTGTAATTTTTAAGTTTCCATTTGCTTTTGTATTTACAGCAGGTCAGTGCGTGAATTGCAAGTATGTTCACTCATACTGCTGTCTGTTCTATCTTTGCCCATGTGAGTCACTCATCTGGTGCAGCAAGCACAGGAACAGGGTTTCTCTGGGAGGGGACGTAAGCTACTTTATGAAATGCAAACATAATAAAATAGATGGGAACTATTACAATGAATTTTGGAGAAGGTACTTTCTACGGAGGTTTACCAATAGTTAGTTTGATTAAATAGTGTTTCATGGAAGACTGTAACGTTTTACAAAGAACTGTTTTATAAATTGATACTTAGAACCTCATTTCTCTTTTATTTTAATACAAGCAAAATTCTCTGTACACATAGTATATACACAAAATACGATTAGGCTTTGTAGCATGTCTTTTATAGCAGCATGAATATATTAAACCATCTCACTCTGGGAATGTAAATAAATATTTTTTCAACATCAAACTTCCCATGCATAAACTGTATTGGTTCTGAAATAGCCTATTGGAGTGGCTGACAAGTGACAATTTTAAAATGAAACATTTGCAACAGAAGGGGCTGCAGTTGTGATTAATATATCAAAATACAGAAAACAATGTGTAATACCATCTGAAATGTTTCAAATCACCTTTCAAACAACTATTAACTCTTTATTGGTTAGAAGGTATCACCAGATAAAATAATATGAAAATTGAAACTGGGGAAGCATGCTGTTGAGAACTGCCCTAATACACTGCTCAAACCTTTAATCATCTATTTCTTAAAGGTGTTAGATGTATTTGAAAATTCTGCTTCAGTTCCAGAGATGTTCTCTGTTCGAACAGAATTCTCTTAGTACTGCTGGAACTGACAATAGCACTAAAATTAGAGAGAAAAGGTAAATACAGTTCAAAAACGTAAACTGACATCTGTGTCTCTGGTATTTTCCTCCCACTCATCATTTTCCAGTTTTTAAGAGCATTATCTAAAAAATTGTCTGTTTTTCCATACATAACTATTTGGTTGGATTAAAGAGAGTGATACAGTGATACTGAATAAACCAAGTGTCCCTTCTCTTTTGCTGAGGTTGACTGGTACATGCTCTGTTAAGGCCTATCCTAGCAGGACAGGAGGATGAAATTCTTGTCTACTTTTGTTGGTCACTCCCTGCCATTAACCATCAGATGTCTACAGAAGATTTAAAGTAATTTTGTTTCATCAGTAGTAGGTGAGATATTCTATTTAGAATCATGAAAGGTCATACCATAAATTTGAGTCTTTTTAGTCTAAATATGGCTAAAATAATTACTTGGTAACAAAAGGTATTAGTCTTTTATTGTAAGTATGTGTTGAAATCTTTAACTCAGTGCTAGTAAAAAAGCATGTTATTTTTGCAGAATATATAAACTCTGTAAACATGAATCAGCACACATAGACTATATACTGAAATTTGTATATGCATATGAAGTAAGGAGCTTTGCCTCCAGTTTTAGTAGCAGGATTTGTGCAATGCTGAATTCGAAAGAATTAAGATTGCTGAATTTTTAGTGGAAGATTTGTTGAGACTTTCCTGGATTTCTTTAGTTTTGAATCATAAACAGGCTTTTCAAGAAGGTAATCTCATTTGATTATATATGAGAAGTTTCTTAGGGGGATGGGGGGTGGGAAGAAAAAATAACTGACTTGTATTTGATTCCAGTGTAATTGCAGACCAGACTTCACCTGAAAGAAGTTACAGATATCTGAACTTTAACAACTAGAGTTGTTTCTGCAAAAGTCAACTGCTAGACTTAAAAGAACATTTAGCACAGTAAAGAGGTAAGCCTTAGCTGTTTCCCCTAAGCCCCACTCTCTGTGGGCAATTGGTGAGGGGAGAGACTTCTCTATCAGGCAGTTCAGAACAGAAACTCAAATAAGATGTTCCAAATCATCCCTTGAGTGAGCCAGTGTCCGTCCTTTGACTACAGGCTTGGCTAAATTAGATGACTAAAGTTGGATGGATGCCCTTCTTTCTTTCTTTGCTTTTCCAATCTTACTGTGACTTTAACTAGAAGTACAGGAATCCTTTCTCATTGTCACAATTTTGATATATGAGGTGTACATATTTTTTAATACACATGGAATCATTATGCTTCGGTGTTTAGTGCTGAAGCACAATTGAATAGATATATTTATATATACACTATATGAGATATTTATATATTAAATTAAAAAATTATTGTCATTGTAATGAAAGATTAACCCTACAAAATAGATTAGGCATGCAATCAGATCCTGTCTTTAAGAAAGTCTGAAAAGGAGTTTTCTCTATTTGCAGAAACAGTGATTAGTAATAGTGCCAAATCTAAATATTTATCTTGGTAAATATAAAGATAATAAAATAGGCAGCCTAGTATAGTATGAAATTATTATACATCTTTTTCCTGTTTCAGTGTCATGGAGTCCAACAATTTTTAGATCATAGGATTTCATATGATTTTTAAGGAAAAGGGAATATTTTAGTAAGATATAGGCTGGTGATAGTGATCAACAATCAATTACTTTGGAGTGGGTAGTTTAAAATATAAAGAACCTTCTTTTTATGTTTAATTGTTCATAACTAAAAATTTATGAGCAAAGCCAATTTTGTACTGCTAGAATTCGTTGCAGAGTAGGTAAGCGTGATAGATAAAAGCGGTAAGAATAAAGTAAGAAAAGAGGACACAGATGAGTTAGCAGAACCATCTTAATATCTATTATATCTGATATAAATCTTTTTTGGGGCTGCGTAGGAGCACATCTCTAGGGTGGCAAGTTATAAAAGGAAACTGTAAAACTACTGTAAGCTCATATGTAACAACTTGTTACATAAAGTGGGGAAATAAATTATAGACAAATTGCTAAGCAATAAATTCCATTGAATAACATTTGATTAAAAACATTCACAATAAAAATGGCATCCACATATTTTACAGATGCTAGAAGAATTAAAATTTTGGTGAAAGATCTTCAATAAAGTAATAAATATAAGTAAATGTACAGCAGAAATATTATATTACACTGAAAAATAACTTCCTGTTCTTCCTCTAGACTATGTAATAAAGTTTTTTGCAATGTTCTTTATTTTCATGGACGGAATAGAATTAAAAGCATTTGGGAAATAGCTTTCAGCCTGATGCATTAAAGCAATCAAAGGTCAAATGTAACAACAAACCAAAACAAATCTTGAAGAGGCTTTAGGAACTAACACAGGAGCTGGTTTACACTCCCCTTTTTACTTTGGACAGACACTGATTAAAAGCAATCAGACCACCACTCACTGCATTCCTAAAAACCACTCACTGCCTTCCTGCTATGGGAGGGACAGGAGCCCACATCAGAACCTCTGCCAGGTGGCACAGAACATGAATCTGACTTTACAAACTGATGGAGCTTAAAAATGATACTATCTTTTATGAATTTGTTAGTAATTATTAAGGGGCAGGGTATTAGACCTGGGCAGGACCTGCATGTATAGGATGAGCAACCAGCTATGCAGGGAGAAGTAAAATAGGTCTCTACTTTTATTCAGGGTTTGATGAGCAGAATTTCATTTCCTTATCCTCCATTTATAATAAGGACTATAGGTTAAGAGTTTACAGATTTCTGTGAAAACAGGTACTCCACTCAAACTCATTGTGGCTTTAAAACCAGTCTTCATTAATTAGGGACAAATCCTTAGGAGAAACTATCTATTTAATTTTACACCTTGAGATGCAAAAACTGTGTAACTCTTCTCAAATTCTGAACCCCTGATGCCAGATACAGAATATGAATTCATGACTGGACAATTTTTTTAAATTTCTAGGCAGTAATATATGGATCAATTTTAAAATAGTTTCTTTCAGCTCTTAACTCCTGCTGATGCTTCCTTTCTGCACAGGCCTGTTTGCTTATTCATCCCTACTATCCTGTCCCTTAACAGGGCTGCAGATTGTTACTCTCACCTCGTTCCAGTCCTTCCTTGAGAATTCTTTATTCCATGATGTCTGTGTAACACTAAACAACTGATAAAGGATAGACTCGGGCTGCTGAACAGCACTGATGTGTATTCATTTGAAAAGACATACAAAAATAAGGTTAACATCTAACATATAGATATGTAAATGTAAAAATGCATTCCACTCCTTCCATATACTGACATTCTTTAGAAAACTATAGAGTAAGAGCTGACAAGACCTATGCATCACTTAACTATTTTATCTTTCTCTCTTTCCTTCTGTCTCACTGCTTTTTTTTAATCTCTTGAGCTCATTCAATAGAAATTTTACAGGTTGCTTTGTACCACACATACATAAGAAGACTCTGGAGCTCACTGAGGCCTCTACCCTTCCTCAGATTCAAAGCTCCTGAAACCGTAAAGAGAAATATGAACTCATTAGTATCCTAATGCAAAGAATAATATTAATCTTTCTATTGGCAAAACTTTGCAAAGATATTTCATCACAATAACCTTTCATACATCCTCCAGTTGGAGCATTTTTAAAGCTTCTTATTGAAATAGTTATGTTAAAGTGCTTTTCAAAGTAGTGCTCAGTGGGCAGGTGGTATTGTGCAATATGTGTAGTACAAGCTCAGATTACAAATGATTTGTCACTCAATAACTGAAGGAAAGTATCTTAGCAAGGCTAATAGAAACCTACTGAGTGAGTCTGCCTAGGAAATGCACGTGTTAGTATGTTTTCTGTACATAATTATCAGCGCTATACAAAATATGATTCTCTGATTAGTTGGACTGGGACATGCCTTTTTTTGTGCTAAGATATTTATATTGCATAAGTCAATATATAGGCCACTCTTAAATACTAGGGCTTGACTGTGCTCTTCATTTTTTTTTAATTTGTCTATACATGGCTACCTACTCCATGGTTCTCATATATTACTCAGTGCTTTGAAATTCTGCCAAATGTTCCTTAAAAAAATACTTTAAGAAAGGTGGAAAATAAACACTCTCTGAAGCAAAAGTTAAAAAAACAATTCAAGGTATTGAAGTGGAATCCATAGATCACTTCTTGGAGGATGTAGCTGTCATGTAGCAGTTGTAGGGAGTAACAGCACTTACTGAAGCTAAAATAGCTAAAGCCAGGCTATATAGAGCAAGACAATATAACTTCTCTTCCTTT